TTTTCTTTTTTTTTCAATCACAAATTTTCCATCAATCTACTATTCCAAAATACATTCTTCCAAAATAATATGGCTCATACACAATCCCATTCACCGTATTATCTACTTTATGTACAAATGTGCCCAAAATGCATAGAATACGTGTAGAATGATAGGTCATTTGTATAGTTGTATTTATTTTCCAGCAAAAAATATAATTGTTCAGTTGTGCTCATCAATTTGAAAGAAGATGACCAAATCTAGCGATACCTACATTGCTTGGTCAATCCAATTACATTTTTAGGTAATCAGTAAACTCCTAACCAAATTTAGATGATGAGACCAACTTTCCTTAAATTCTTGATCAACTTGTTGGATCACTCCACCGAATAGAAATTACATCACAGTTACAGGTCAATATTAATTAGCAGAGAGTAGGTTAGAAGCATCCAACTAAACAAGCCCAACCTTCATTTATTTTGAGGAACCAAAAGTATACTGTTGTGACACATGTTCTTCGTACATGTGTATCATGACTTCACAAGACAAACTCGGTGTGTTCTCACTATATCTATTTATATGTATCTATCTTTCTATATATATGTGCTCTTATGTTTTATCCACGGTACAAGGTCATACCAATAGAGGTTTTTGGTGTATCCAAATCCAAATCTATATCTAAACCCTACTCTCTGTCATACTTTTGTGTTTTGCATTATCACGTAAATTCTCTCCCTCTCTCTTCGTGTTCAATTATCTACTCGAATGGACCTGGGCAGCATTCTCCATTTTCTTGAGGACAAGTCCATTCTTGTCACTGGTGCCACTGGTTTTCTGGCTAAGAGTACTCTCTCTCTCTCTCTGTACACGCACAAAACAGTAAAGAATACTTGGTTAATGAATTTGAAATGTGGATGCAGTTTTTGTTGAGAAGATTCTTAGGGTTCAACCAAATGTGAAGAAGCTCTATCTTCTTTTAAGAGCTGCAGATGAAATGTCCGCGATGCAACGTTTTAACACTGAGGTAAACAAATACACACAATGGAGTTCAAGTTTGGTCATTACCCATTTATAAATATTTTGCATGTTATCTGAGGAGAAAATACTCATGCTCAGAGGTAACGAGGCGCACTGAATATGAAATTTAAGCCTCTATTTCGGTACAAATTCAGCCAAAATCAAACATTAATTTCAATGTTATATTCATAACTCTCATTATCCACACATTTCTATCTTAGGTGCAATAAGAATGATATCTTATCTATAATTAAACCCTAAATTTGCCAAACGGAGGCTAAGTAACTAAAGTTTACTATCTAAAAAATTGACCTTTGAGGCAAGGTGGTTTAAAATCCAAGAACTTTATTCAATATTCATACAAGTTTCACCTTTTTTAGGTGATAGCAAAGGATTTGTTCATGGTTCTTAAAGAGAAATATGGGCGAAATCTAAACTCTTTTATTTCACAAAAAGTTGTGGTTGTACCTGGGGACATTACCTGCGAGAACTTGGGTGTCAAAGACAGAGATTTGTTGGAGGAGATGTGGAAAGAAGTTGATGTTGTAGTTAATCTAGCTGCCACTACAAACTTTGATGAAAGGTATATATGGGCTTCCAACTTCTTGATTTTTTACTTAATTTCTTTCACAACATATAAATTAGGAAGGGAAAGAAACTGTACTTTTTCATCTTTTGCAGATATGATGTTTCACTTGACATTAATACATTTGGAGCTATGCGTGCTTTGAGCTTCTCCAAAAAATGCTCCAAATTAAAGGTTCATGTTCATGTATCAACAGGTTAGTACATATTTGTACTTGAAGAGAAATGTTGAGGATTTTCATCTCTATGAGTTTCAAATTTTAGAAGACGAATTCAACAGTAATCAATTTACTTCACCTTTTAAGTTTTCAATCATCGTTTTTCTCTCTCAAATTTTTCAATTTGGAAAATTTATAAATGGTTTTTTAATATGATTAGTAAGAGGAAGAATAGTGAGTTTCATGAAATGTGTGGATAATAATTAGTAACAATTATGAACGTGTGTTTAAAATTAATGTTTTACTTTAATTGAATTAATAAATTTGTGTCAAAATGGAAAAAAATTTCATGGTAGTCCAAAATTCTAAATTCATGTCAATCTTGGAAGGATCTACGGCATCAGACCATTTTTTTACCGGTTAATGCTACTTGTACACCTAGATTCTTATTAGTTGATAGTTGTTAAGTATGATGCTTGCGTTCTAATAAGTCTTATCTTTTATTGTCGTTTTTCAGCGTACGTTTGTGGTGAGAAAGAGGGACTCATATCCGAGACTCCATACTACATGGGTGAGACACTTAATGGGATAAGTGGACTCGATATCGATAGAGAGAAAAAAGTGGCGGAGGAAAAGTTGAAGCAACTAAGAGTAGAGAATTCTTCACAAGAATCTATTAAATCAGCCATGAAAGACTTGGGGATTCAAAGGTTCGATCTAATTTTATTAAATTAGTCACTTATTCTACTTAACTTTATATTTTGAAAAAAATTAGCACCTGTGGATCCCTTTATACCCCAACCTTGATTTAACAACAATCTGATCCAACCTACCAAAATGTGTGAAAAATTATCCAAACAAGTTAGCTGAACGACCCTTTATTTTCTTGCCAAGTAAATTGGTCAATAATAATAATAATTCCATTTGTGAAAGCAATTGTTATATTTTTTCATCTATACGGTCAATCTCGTAATTATATTCACAAAGAGTAGATTTTACAATTTTTACAAGACAAGCATCCTTCCGAAAGGCAGCAATCTTTTTAAGGGTTGTGCTACTTGTACATTATGGCATCCATAATGGATGACATAATGTACAAGTGGCAGTACATTATTGGAGGGTGTGCTGGCCCACCGTCACACCCTCCAATAGGATAATTCCACTTGTACATTATGTTATCCATTATGGATGCCATAATGTACAAGTAGAATTATCATCTTTTTAAACAGTGACGGAGGGACGGGGGTAGGGTGACACCATTTTTCGCCTCTTTTACGTGAAAATTTTGAGTCTACCACTATTTTTAGACTAGTCAACACGTTGAGCGTACATTACACATTATTATGAAATTCTTTAATAATTGAATATACGTGAATGTTAATTAATTTAGAATTAATATCGATGAATATATACATGATAATTATCATGAATGTTAAATCATTTATTTAATTTTTAATTAGGTAAAACTGGATTTTAATTAGCATACATAGACGTGAATAATGAAATGCATTTTTGAATATGAAATTTTAATTAACTTATAATTAGAATTAATTATATTGAAATGTATAAATGAAGATAAATATTAATTAAATGAATGTGAATGTTAATTAATTGAGAATTAATAATAAAAATTTCATACATTAATGAAATCACGCAAGTGAAATGAATGTGTCAAATATACATGTATATTGATGGTAAGTAAATTGTTAAATAAATTAAATATATAGAAAAATGAAAATGAAAATATTATTTAAATAATTGAATTATAGTAGGACTAGAATCGTCCAAAAAATGATTCTCACTCGATGTGATATTTAATAGATTATAGTTTGGTTGCGTGTGACATGTGCTATGGAAGTCATGCCTTTGTTTCTAGAATTATGATCCTTGTACACTCCTTATATACATTGAGTTTGACACTCGTATGCAAATTCAAAATTGAGTGGCGGGAAAGTGTTGTATTTTCAAACTGGTCAATCGTGCTACAACATGTGACACAATGTCAAACTTGATGTCAAAAAGAATGTACTTGTAGCATGATTGTATTAAAATTTGATAGTTTAAACAAATTATTAATTATGAGTAATTACATAATTATAACTCCTTGTGTACATGGAGTTTGACACTCCTTTGCAAATTCAAAAATAGAGGGGCTGGAAAGTGTATTGTATTTTCAAACTGGCCAATCGCGCTGCAACATGTGGCACAATGTCAAACTTGATGTCAAAAACAATGTACTTGTAACATGATTGTTATTTCTAAAAGCTCAAGTATTTGTTTTGTATTTTCTTTCTTCGTGTAAAATTATTAGTAATTTTATAAGAGAAATAGTGATGGATTGCCCAAAGTGTATGTATAATAAATGAATATTAATTATGATCGTATCACTGAAATTAATATTTGATTTTGATTCAACAGAAAAATAAACTTTTTAGCAGAGCCAAACAGTGGCTATACTAATCATGTTTCAATTACTTTTTTTGTGATTCCATATATGCTGTATCAGAGCAAGGAAATATGGATGGCCAAATACCTATGTTTTCACAAAGGCAATGGGAGAGATGCTGTTGGGACACATGAAAGAAAACATGCCCCTTGTCATCATTCGTCCTACGATCATAACCAGTACCTACAAAGAGCCCTTCCCAGGTTGGGTCGAAGGGATCAGGTAATTTTATTTCCCATTTCATTTTTCGTGTTGTTTTATTTTCTATAGATATTGAATATTAGACTTCGACTTTTTTCTTGTAACCAATTAATGTTTACGATTTCGCAGAACCATTGATAGCTTAGCTGTTGGTTATGGCAAAGGAAGAATAACATGTTTCCTTGGTGGCCCCAACACCATAATCGATTTGGTATGTTTTCTTCTCACAAAGTTTCGTGCTCGGGAGACACTACACTTAAAGATTGTTCCTTCTAAAGAATAAAAATAAAGAGATAAAGGAAATTATTATTTATTATGAAAACTATGCAGATCCCAGCAGACATGGTGGTGAATTCAATGATTGTAGCCATGGTAGCTCATGCAAATCAACCAAATGAGACCATATACCATGTTGGATCTTCGTTATCAAACCCTATGACATGTAAAATGTTTCAAGAATATGGCCACCAATACTTCACCAAGCACCCCTGGATCAACAAGGAAGGCAAACCTGTCACTGTTAGCAAGGTCAAAGTGCTCAGCACAATGGATAGTTTCCAATCATACATGACGATTCGCTACTTGCTCCCATTGAAGGTTAGTTCGTTCAACCAACGTACTATTTATCCTTTTTAGTAAATGGTCATCTATTCGGATTTATGTTTTAACCCTCCTCACATTCTTGGACTTGGATAGTCTGAGTTTTCGTAGGTAATCATCTGAATATATCCTTTTGTTTGTTGTTGTTGGATTGTCCGAGTTTTCTTCGGTAATCATCTGAAAATATCCTTTTGTTTGTGTTGTCCTTTAGGTATTGCAATTCGTGAACGCAGCTTGTTGCCAATACTTCCGCGGCTTGTATCTTAATATGTACAGAAAGATCAAATACGTTATGAGGTTGATTGATCTTTATCGACCTTATTTATTCTTCAAAGGAGTGTAAGTATCTTTCATTTCAGTTTCCTCATCGTGAGAAATGGTTGTTTTAACTGACGTGCTTATGAACGAGTTAATTAAAACATGAACCTTGTTTTCATTTTGTAGCTTTGATGATATAAACACAGAAAAACTGCGAATGGCAGCGAAAGAAAGCAACGTTGAGACAGATATCTTCTACTTTGATCCCAAAACCATCAAGTGGAGTGACTATTTCATGAGCATTCACCTGCCAGGAGTGGTGAAATACTTATTCAAATAACTTGAACTTGTAACAAGTGCCATAAGGGAAATTTTATTACATTATTCAGATTCTTCGTTTATTCCATGTGATCATTTATTATACGCAGCTGGAAATTTAGCAACTGGATTTATTAAATTTAGGGATTTCAAATTGTATTCATATATGTTATAAAACTGGTTCCTGTTTTCAATTACAATTCTTTTACTTTATTCTTTACTTCAGTTTTTTTATGAATTTTTTGATATACATGAGGCATGTCTGAGCTGTAACATATATCTGGACTTTGTTGACAGAAACAAGTTTACTGAACTTTATCCCAACCCAAGTGTTAGGTTTTGTAACAAAAATTCTATGTGATTTAGAAGTTTGTTGCATGAAGGAAGCTTGTTTAATCTTGATTTAGAAGTCCGGTTTAATTAGGAATCTGGCGTACATGATGAAACTGGGAATACCTTCACATATTTCTTTACTGAATGATCCAAATATATATGGCAGTGTAGATTTTATAATGTAGTGAACAATAGATTATTACAACTACAATGCGGAAAACATAAACTCATAAAGTGTAAAAAATCGATCCAAGGTACTCAAGCTTGTTCCAACACTATCAATGGAGTGTCTAAAGACGTTGAGCTCAGATTTTTGCCACACCGGATCATGCACCATCGTCCACGGGAATGGCAATGGATATACGGAGAATAACTCCGCCGGAAGCCACCAAGAATTTTGCCGGAGATAAGAACTCCCACTTGGTTACCTCTCTTTGCTTACTCTCTTTCTCTTATGCCAAAAACCCAAAATGAGAAGATGAAGATGTCTAGTATATTATAGAGCCAAATATCAATTGAATTCAAAATTCAAATTCAAATATTATACCATGAAAGAGAATTGTCTAGCTTGTGTAATTGACCACAAGATTAAATCCAATGGTTGGATTTAGTCTATGGTCCATATTACATCTCAACATGCACAATCCTTTCAAGGACGTGCTCTAGACCAATATCCATGTGCCATGTGGATTAAGTAATCCACCCCACAGGCAGTACAAAAAATGGAGTTACATAAACTATTTTAGGAACACACTTTCTAAGGCTAATGTAATTGCTGATCCTTGAAGGGATACACACACACTCCCCTCAAGTAGGTGCATAAATATCTCTAATCCTATTTGTCAAGTGAGCAAAATAAGATTTTGCTGGAAACAACCTTTGTGAGTATATCTACAAGTTGGTCTTCGACTTGACAAATGGAAATCGAATTATCTTGGCTTTAAGATTTTGCTTGATGAAATGTCGACTACCTCCACGTGCTTAGTGCAATCATGTTGGACAGGATTATGATAAATATCAATGGGGGCTCTATTATCACGAAATAAGTTCTTCTCAGAGCTCGGAGTAAAACTCTCAGTTAGCAACATTTTGAGCCACAAAAGCTCTCAAAGACCTTTAGCCACGATATCATGTACCTATGCGTATCTAGCGTAGCCACAAAAGCTCTCAAAGACCTAGCATAATTTGACCTTTTAAAGGGTAACTAAAATGATGACAATAGTAGTTGAAGGACTAAATGGAGAAATTTCAAAAACCTTCATGGATGACAGAAGTCAGCAGCCCTTGACGTTACACCATATGTTTCATTTTCTATTCTTAGTAAAGTGTACATATGGTGTGTGTAGATAAACGTCACATACCGATGACACTTTTTATCCGTATTTCTAAATATAGGTGTTGTAAATATATTTAGGGCCAAATTGCACCTACGGCTCTTATTGGTTGTGGAGCATGTTACTTACATTCGAATTTTGGTTTTCCTTAAATTTTAGGTTTCCATTTTAACAAATTTATAGCAAATTCATCTTTTACCATTTCTCAATTCTAAATTTATTAAGAATAAGACTTACTAATACGTGGGCGAGACACTTAGGCCCCTGTTTGATAATGAAACTTTTTCATGGAACTTGGAATTTAAATTTTATTTTCCACCAATTGGTTTGTTTGATAGCCATAATTTTCTTGACAATTACTTTTCCACTTTAACCCTACACGTGCACATTTTCTACCTTTTTGATGAATTTGGTTTCTCACCATTTTGGTGGAAAATAGAATTCCAGCTTTTGCCCTTTTTTTTTTGGGCAATTTGAACAAATTTTATAACCAATTGTAAAAAAAAAAAAAAAAATCATTTTAATGGAAAATTTTCATGTAAAA